CCTCCGGAGGACCCGGCCTGTCGTTTTGGACACAGCCTTTGTTTCCCCGATGTATAACTGGTCGCAGTCCTCCTGGCACTTAACAGCATATACAACATTGCTCTGTTTGTGCCGGGGCACCGGATCTTTGGGGTGAACCAGCCTTTGCCGTAATGTGTTTTGGGGTTTGAAAGCCACTGGGACATCATGTTTAGAAAATAAACGTCTCAGTTTCTCCGAAACACCCGCAACATACGGAATAACCACTGGTTTGGGTCTGGGTTTGGGGTCTTCATTTTCACCTTCGTTCTTAGTGGGATTAGAACAGTAAAGTGTGATTAAATGAATGATCAGATTGTCATAAATACAAATGTGAATGTTCCCARAGTTTTAAACCATTTTAAAACGTAGCTGCTTGATATTACTTGTGTCTCACCAGCTTGCCGGCAGCTGCTGTGTGTGATCTGGAATTAGAGGAAAGGGCRGCAGTGAATATGGAGCTGCCTGATGGCTTGTTGCTGCAGGTCAACAACGGAGAGCAGTGGTGTAACCGGTGGAAACATCCCAACGAAGACTCTGTATGTCACCAACGTAAATAGATGGCTATCATGGATCATTTTRTCAGAACAAAAGCCATTAATCTAATTTCAGCGTGCGCATGTTTCTTCGAACAGGCATTTTCTTACATTATCCAGTGACCCTAATTGAGTTGCATGTGTGGTTGTGTTCCCAGGACCGGAGTACCAGCCCCTCAGTTCTGCGCTCTGTTGCCAGGACATGGAAGGAGGGTCTGCTGAACAGAAAGAGGCCCTTTGTGGGCCGATGCTGCCACTCCTGTACTCCACAGAGCTGGGTAAAGTTCCTCCACAACCTCTTATCCCAAACTTGCTGAACTCTAGTCCCCTCTCAGATAACATTTTTCCATGGGTTATCACTGTTAAAGCAAACTAAAATCAGATGAAACCAATCAGATTAATGGTCAATTAAATTATATTGATTAAAAATCTGGGTCCTCGTGTTTGGATAATATTTATTTTTTGTTCCAGGAGCGATTGTTCAACTCCAGCATTCCATCTCTGGGCCTGCGTAACGTCATCTACATCAATGAGACCCACACTCGGTAAACACAGCTGAATCTGCTTCCTGTTGTTGGGTTTCACATCATATTTACACTAGTTTGTTTTTAGCAGTCGGACAGCCTTAAAAAGAGGAACAAAGTCGACGTTTAAAGCAACAACTCGAGTTGGCTCGTGCGTTGCTTTAACAGATGTTGACTTTTATAGCTGCGCATAAAGAGCATGTGCTGTGCTTCTGAAAAACGTGTACAATGAACGGCTTCAAGTCAAAAGATCTGATCCGTGAAACGAGGGAAAGGGAGAGAGATAAATAATTTAAAGTGTTTCTCAATGGGCACTTCATTCAGGGACTGATCTTAAAATTGTGAACTCAATCAGGCACGAAACACCTGAACCCTATATATATATA